TTATTAGAATGAAAAATTCATGGGAAAAAATTAATGGAGTAAAAGAAGTTAATTATGATCATCAATTAGTTATTAATGATACTATTAAAGTTAATGTAGAATTAGAACAATTGGATCAAGGAAATTATGTACCATTTAACGTAGATGATTTACAAATAGAATTAAAGTTACTTGATCCTGTCATTGTCAAAAATTTCAAAAGAATAAATAATGGAAAATATGAGGTTATTGTCCAAACTCCTGATAAGTTTGGTGTATATACTATGGTCATTAATTATAGAAGACCATTCTTATCTTACTTAGAATATAAAGAAACTATTCCTTTAAGAACTTTTAGATTGACTCAAGTAGATAGATTCTTAACTGGTGCATATCCATTCTATGCTGCTTGTGCATCTATGGCTATCGGATTTATTGTATTCTCTTTTATCTATTTGAACCAAATAGAAAAGAAGGAAATAAAACAAGACTAAATTAATTTTTTACTTTCTTTTCAATAATTTGTTTTAAACTAGATGAACACTATTTAGAATTTATAATGAATGATATTTTTATTGAATACTACACCTGACTAAAAAACTCACTAAAAGGTATAACAAGAACATTAAATAATGAAATATCATCTATAAATTTTCATGTCTCAAAGTTTTTGTATACTTATATTATAGTGAACTTTTAATACTAGATATTTAAACTTGAAATATTCTTTTATAAGAATAGAACGTTATATAGATTCTACAATAAACTAAATACATCCTTGTTTTATATTTTATTCTATGACATTAAGACTAAAATTTATTTACTCTTTATATTTTTTCAATTTTTGATATTTACTATAAACTACTAATCAAATTTAGATGATAAAAATAGAAATGAATTAATATTAGATTCTTCAATTCATTATACCAATCTAATAACTCTTTTTAAAGAAATAGAATAATACTTGAAACAACAAAAGAATATTATACTATAAAATAACATGAGAATTATCAATCAAATAATAATTTATTTTTTAATCAGTAATATTATTGTATCTAAAACAAAAAATAATACAATATAGAATTAATAAAGAAGATTGTGAAATGACATGCAAAAATAATTGCATGAGAAAAGAGTTAAAAGGTATAATAACTTACTACATAAAAAATGTGATAGTACAAAACACATATGAAATAATTTGAATAAAAACAATATGAAAAGTATAAGAAAAGAGAAAGAAAGAAAGAAAGAGAAAAAAGAACTAAAAAAAAGAAAAAAAAAGAAAATGGGAGAAACAATTACTAATTTAGAAGAAGAGTTAAACGAAGTGAGGAAAGAGCACGAGAAATATCAAAAGAACCGAATGAGAGGGTGTGGAGAAAAAGCAAGAAAACAAGGTATAAGGTATACAATAGGAGAAAAGATGAAAGTAGGGATAATGGAAGAATTTATAGAAAAGAAAAAAAGAACAGCGGACATAGTAAGAAAAATGGAAATGATAGGATGTAATAAGGAAATAGTAAAGAAGGAAGAAAAGAAAGAGGAAAAGAAAAAAATGAATAAAAATGCATTACTGATAGAGCAAGTAATTCAGACTACAGACATAGAAGAAATAAAAGATAAAGAAGAACCAGGAAAAGAATCTATTGAAATATCAGATGAATTTTTACAAGAAATACTAGGGGAGAAAGAAGAAAGAGAAGAGCATAAAATATATGAAAACATTGACATGAATGAAGAACTAGAAGAGATTAAAATGGATGAAGAAGAAGTAAAAGAAAATAAACCGAATAAAGAAATAGAAGAAGTTAAAGAAATTGGTATGAATGAAGAAAATAAAGTTAAAGAGGAAGAAATTAAAATTAGTTTAATGGAAATAAATGAGGAAGAGAAAGAAATGATTAATTTGGTGAATGAAGAAGAGATAATATTTGAAGGAAAAGAACAAAAAGAACAAGAAATTATTTCAATCGAAGATGAAATAGGAAGTGTTGATGAAATAATTGAAAGAATGGAAGAAGAAGAAAAAGAAAGAGAAAAAGAAATAAAAGAACTTGAAGGAGGAGATGAACAGAAAGAAGTAGAAATGTTAGAACAAGATGAAATGTTTAAATATCTTTCAAAAAAAGGAAAAGAAGAACTTGAACATATTAAAGAGTACCTTCAGAAAAGAATTGAGCTAATAGAAAAAGATATTGAAAAAGATATTGAAGAAGGAAAAGATCAAGAGAAAGACGAAAAGGTAGAAAAGAAAAATAAAGAAAATGAAGAAATGAGAAAGATAGAATTAATAATAAAAAAAGGAAAATATTATCATCAAGAAGAAAATAACAATAACGAAGAAGAAGAAGATATTAAAGAAGAAATAAATAATAATAAAGAAGGAGAGGTAGAAGAAATTAGATATAAAGAAATAAGTGAAGGGGGAAAATATTATGTATGGAAATTAGGAGAATTTTTAAAAAAGAATCCAGGAGTACAAAAATATAAAGAGAAAAAAGACAAAAGAGTCAATGGGATAAAAAAATTTGCAAGTATAGACAGTGACTGGGAAAAACAAGAATTTTCATGGAAAGAAAATATTAAAAAATGTAATAATGCAGTATTTGGGAATGACTCATTTAGACCAAGTCAAGAAGCAATAATTAATTGTGTGATGTCAAGAAATAATGCACTGGTTCTTATGCCAACAGGAGGTGGGAAGTCGTTGTGTTATCAATTACCATCATATTTTATTAAAGGAATTACAGTAGTTGTATCACCACTAGTTTCCTTAATCCAAGACCAAGTTAGTAACTTAGTAGAAACGGGAATGGAAGCAATAGCATTTTATAGTGGATCATCAAGTGAAGAAGCTAAACAATTTTATAAAGAAAGTTATCAAAAAGAAGGAAAATGTACAATTAAATTTGTATTTGTTACACCAGAAAGAATTACACAATCTAAATCATTTAAAGAAGCATTAAATAGGTATTATGAAAATAACAATTTTGGAATGGTTGTTATTGATGAAGCACATTGTATTAGTCAATGGGGACATGATTTTAGAGATTCATATCAAAAATTAAGTGTATTTTCACAAGAATATCCAGGAATACCAATATTAATGTTAACCGCAACAGCAACAGAAAGAGTTAAAAATGATATATTATTATCACTTGGAATAAATGAAGCAGTAGTTTTTAGTCAATCATTTAATAGAAAAAATCTTACTTATTGTGTTAGACCAAAAACAAAAGGAGTCATTGATGAAATAGAAGAAATGATTAAAAGAAAATATAAAGGACAAAGTGGAATTATTTATTGTTTAAGTCAAAAAAATACAATGGATGTTGCACAAGAATTAAATAAAAGAGGGATTAAAAGTAAATATTATCATGCAGGAATGGATACAAAAGAAAGAACAAAAGTACAAAAAGAATGGTGTGATGGAGAGTTTAATGTTATTTGTGCAACAATTGCATTTGGAATGGGAATAGATAAACCTGATGTTAGATTTGTTATTCATCATAGTTTACCAAAAAGTTTAGAAGGATATTATCAAGAAAGTGGAAGAGCAGGAAGAGATGGAGAACCTGCAGATTGTATATTATATTATAATTATAGAGATAAATATACCTATGAAAGATTTTTTGAAAAAGATAAAGAAAATAATGGAGATTTATCACATATTCAAACAGCAAGAAATAATTTAAATGAAGTAATTAGTTATTGTGAAAATACAGTTGATTGTAGAAGAACACTCGTTTTACAATATTTTGGAGAAATTTTTAATAGTAAATTATGTAATAAAACATGTGATAATTGTTATAATCCATCACCAACAGAAATTATTGATATGACAGAATTAGGAAAAATAGCAGTTGAAATTGTTAAAGCACATCAAAGAATTACAGCAAATATGGTAATTGGAATTATGAGAGGAACATCAACAATGGGAAAAAAATTTGGAGAAACAAGTAAAGGATTTAAAAGTGCAAAAGGAAAAACAGAACAAGTTATGGAAAGATTTATGAAAGTATTATATCTTGAAAGAGTATTATCAGAAATGTTAATTGCTAATAGTCACGGAAATATTTCAGTTTATTTAAAAGAAGGACCAAAATGTAAAGAGTTAATGGAAGGAAGAATTAAAATTAAAGTTAAATGTAAAAAAGGGGCTAATCAGATAGTAGAAATTAATAATGGAATTAAAATGTCAGAATACCAAAATAGTTTAATGGATAAATTAAATGAATTAAGAGATCAAATATTTGAAGAAGTTAGAAAACAACCAGGAAAAGAACAACTATTAAAACATAATTTATTTGGTACTAGAGTTTTAAAAAAAATTGCAGCTATTATGCCAAGAAATAAACAAGAATTTGAACAAATTGCAATGAAAAGACTTCTTAAAGAAAAGTATGCTGAAAGATTTATTTCTGTTGTTAATAATTTTATTAGTCAACACTCTTCTAATTCTATTAACACTTCTTCTTTTAATCCTATTAAAAGAACTAATCCTATTAAAATTGATCTTAACAGAAAATCTGGAATAAGAGATAACTCTGACGAATCAATTTTTGATGGAATTGATTTAGATGAATTTGCTGATGATGATAATAATGTTACTTCTTATAATAATCTCGAAATGAATAATCATACTATTCCATCTAAAAAAACTTCTAAAAAATCTATTAAAAAATCTATTAAAAAAGCTTCTAAAAAGTCAATTAAAAAAGCTTCTAAAAAATCAATTAATTCTTCTTCTAATGGAATTCAACCTATGCTTTAATAAATATTTTTTTTTTGATAACTTTTTAATAAACCTTTTTTCATTTACAGTAAAAGAACTAAAACTTAGGTAGAAACATAATACAAAAAAAATGAGAATGAACTTCAAGTTACAATATTTAATAATATTATTATAGTTTTATGTTATAAATTCAATAGTAAAAACTAATTTTTATGAAATTATTACGAAAAATAAGAAGATAAGAATGAAATAATTGAAATATTATTAATAGAACGTTTTAAAATTAACTAATGAAACAGTTAATTTATTAACTTTCTAGTTATTGTAATTATGAGATATAAAACAAATATATTTTTAATGATACTTAAATTAAATTTTATTAAATAGTATTATAATGTATCATTATTTCATTAAATCATCTTCTCAACTTTCATTCACTTTATCTGTTGATTGAATAATTATTACAATATCATTTTA